TTGTTTTCCATGATGGCATCAACATGACCCAGCCTCACCGCCATCCTACCCCGAGCACCCTCAGTGCTCCACAGCCTTTCCACTCCTGAGTCCATCTCCCTTGGCAAAACATTTGCCTGGCTGAAGACCATGCTCTGTCTCTTCATGAGGCTCTTAGCAAAACTCTAAAAAGGGCTGACAAAAAACAACAACAGAGCCCAAAACTATGAGCCATGGCTTTGTCCAGCCATGGTTTGGCACGGTGTGAACAGTCGAAGGCATATGAGAACCCTGCAAGAAAAGACATCTCATCCCTCTCCAAAGGGATGCTCATCCATGCCTAATGAGAAACTGCAATGCAAGACTTGAACAGCAGAAAGTAATCAGAAGAATAACAGTAATCCTTAAAGCACAGGTATTTATGTATTTCATTTTGCCTAGAAAATCTCTGAGGAGTTTCCACCAAAACACTATGGAGCCACTTGCCAGTTTCCTGCTGATTATCAGGAAATGGACTTGGACTATCCGTTCTTGTCCCACAGTTAACTTCAGCCAGGCCAGATCCTCTTCCAACAGGAGCCTGTGACTATACCAGCTTAATAAGCTCATGGAAAGGCAGAGGGAAGCAGCAGTTTAATAGGCTGCAAGTGGAATACAATGCTCTGCAAGCAGTGGGTCATGGATGATCTCATTCTACTTGGACACTTCCCACCTAACAGAGCTCAAACCACTTCATTTCCCTTCTCCTCCTGCAGCCCACAAACCACAGGTGGAACACAACTCACATGAGACACCTAAAGCCATGAAAAACCTAACCTCACTTTGAAGACAATCCTGCTGGGAGCAGGATTTTAGACCAAGCGACCTCTTGAGTTCCCTTCTGACCCAGGTGAGCCTACATTCCTCCATTAGAGGTAGCATTAAGATCGTGGGGGTTTTGTTAGGAATAAAAAGCCATTGCAGCAAAGACATGGAACTCTCACCTCACCTGTAAGATTTTTCCACAGGTACCTGTGAAAAAGGGAACCATAAATTCCTCCCCACAGACAGAAAAACGCTACCACAAGGTCTAACAAAACCGCAACTGTTGATAATGTTTTAAAAACAGACACAAAAATCAGTTCAACTCTAAAAACCCATGTTCAATAGCCTTCCTTCCTGAATTTTCATATTTTCTGAGGTCAAGTTGTTTGAGTTCCACTTTTAAAAGTTTAATTCCAAGACACAGAGGTTAAGACATCGACACAATCACAGGAGTGAGACGTACATGTCAACATGGGGTTTCAACCTGTCAAACGCAGCACAAGATTTAATACTAAAGAGTCACACAAAAAAAAAGCAAAGACTATTCTATTTCCCTTTTTTCCTGTTTTTATCCATTATCTGGCAAGAGTTTCACATGTTTGGTTTCTATAGTCTCAGCTCTGAACACCTGTGCCTTCATGTGTATACACAAAACCTATGGAAAAATTTGGCCTGTGTAAAAGAAAAATAAAATTCCACAAAAACAACCTCAATTCCAATGATCCACAGATATCCCATCAGCAGCATTTTATCCTTAAAATTTCATAAGAAATCCAAGCTTTGTGATAATGCCAGCCATCTAACCTGAATAGACAGCAGAGTATTTTTGCAGCGTGAAGCCCAAAGAATTACCAAGCTTTTCCCCAGAGCAGAGGAGCACCCAGACACATCCCAAATCTCTGATGCTACTGCTTTTGTCCAAAGGAATGCTAGAGAAAGTCTCCAATTTGCAAACTTGAACCGTGATCTTTTAAATATTTATGCTCATGTTTACTTTGTTGAGAGGGGAGAAATCCCGTTCACTCGAGAGGAAGTGGAGCAAACATCGGCACGCAGGACAAAGCCTGAGAAATTCAGATGCTCTTTTAAACCTCAACACAAAAAAAACACCATGTTGCAAAGCTGAAACCTGCACCCAGCCCATCTCAGGGAGCCAGAGTCCAGGCCCAAGCTGGGAGCTTTATCAATGACACAACAAACATGCCTTCAACCCCGGTGTTTCGCGTGCAAGCGGGAACACAAATTCCCTTTTATTTACAAACTGAGGGGACGCAGGAATTTCTGAAATCAAGTTTGACCGGCTAAGATGCTTCCAGTGGTTCAACGACCTTGTTTGCTCTCTCATAAATGTATTTTTAAAGGAATTGAGTTCAAAAGTTGCACGGTTTAGAGCAAGAACTAGGATTGGGCAGAAAATGGCCACACTACACTCACCAAAACCATCCACCCCAAATGACTGCAGAAACTCTCTGGTCACACTTGAATGACAGAATACCAGACTGGCTTGGGCTGGAAGGGACCTTAAAAACTCGTCTTGTTCCACCCTCTGCCACGGGCAGGGCCACCTGCCACTATCCCAGGTTGCTCCAAGCCCTGTCCAACCTGGCCTGGAACACTTCCAGGGACGGGGCAGCCACAGCTTCTCTGGGCAGCCTGTGCCAGGGCCTCACCCCCCTCTAAGGCAACCACTTCTTCCCAATATCCCACCTAACCCCGCTCTCTGGCAGTGGGAAGCCATTCCCCCGGTCCTGGAACTACAGTTCCTCGTGAGGAGTCCCTCTCCAGCTTCCTTGTACACCCCTTTCAGACACTGGAAGTTTGCTCCTGGTTTCCCCAGACTTGAGGCATTTCAGCTTCAGGACTACAGGACACTTGTGGTCTCAAGGCTGTGATGGTGAGCCCTGGTCTTCCAACTGAGCCAGTTTGGTTGTGCCAAGCTGCAAAACCAGTGGAGAGACCAGCACGGTGCCTGTGCTCCCAGTACTCCCCCTGTTGACTTGCAGGCATGGGAAGGAGCAATCTGTCCTTCCGTCCAGAGCAGAGTACTGCTCTCCCAGAAACCAAGCAGGGGATGAGGATTTCAAGTCCAGCCATACTTTGACACGAGCTAAATAAAGGCTGCAGAGGTAACTTGAGTTTCACATTTCCCAAGTGGCCAAACTCAGGTGCTTGACATTCTCAGGGGTTTTCCTACAAACCTGATCAATGGTCACAAAACACACCATAAACATCCCACATACAAATAATTTAGGCATAAAGCATTCCGATTTTCCCAGTAAAGGATTCCAAACATTTGATTGTCTGAGTGGTTTGCTACCAGTGCTTGTGGAAGATGCTAGCAGTAGTCATGTCAGGCATTTGATACCTTGCATCTGAAAATGCAGCTTCCCCACCCAAAATAAGGAGGAAAAAAAAGCTTAAAATGTAAAGTTTATAAATCATAACAGGAGCAAAAATAACTTCACAAAACAGATCTACATTTTAAATACATGATGAATTCCAATAGAGCTTTTTCCAAGTGCTGCTGATGGACACAAGGCCTTTCAACAGAGAGGAAAAATCTCTAAACCACCCCGATTTATGCATTGATTACAATCAATACATAAATAAATAAAAAATTAAATAAAAAATATGAAGCTGCATCATCATTGATAGCCCAGGAAACAAAAGCTTGTTAGTTGTGTGCTGGGGCTGCTCAATTACCTTCCCTGCCATCAGCAGCCTGACTGACAGCTTCCAAAACGGTCTTGGGGATCAAAAATTACAGCCAGAAGGGAAAGCAAAGGCTGGGAGAACCTTAACGAGGGCAAAACGCATAGAAAACCCTCTCATTTTAATTAAATAAAACGTAAAAATGAGAAAAGCTATTGAAATGGGTGAGTTTACTCAAGGACGTAGGGGGAATCGTGAGACTGTATGGCGAGGGGCTGAAAAGATGATGCTCTTCAGGGATAACACAGCTCTGACCTAGCCAGAGTTTATGAATAAGGACAGATTTGTAAGGTCGTGCTTAAGGATTCACAGCCCATCACCGCAGCATCCATGCACCTCTCCATGGGAACACAACGCTCCCCTGTCATTTCCTAGCAGTCCCATGGGAAAAGAGTCAGGAAAGCACTTGAGCCGGCCAGAAACCCAATTCTCCACCTAGCAATCTATTTACAGAGCGATTTATTACAGCGCTTGGTTATCGACTGAGCGAGACACCGCGCCGCTTTTCCTCCCGTAGCAGCAAATCTCCTTCCTCTGCCGCTACGTGATTATTTTTTTGATCCGCCGATGGGCAGGGACCGCGCTGCAGCGCGGGATGGGAAAGCCATGATTTCTGCTGAGCTCACGCTCCCCACTTTGTCAACCGCGCCTTGGTCTGGGGATAGGAAAACCTAAATGGAGGAGGAGGAAGCCGATCGAGAAGCAGAAGGGCGGCCAAAAGCCCGGCTCCGAAGTCACGGCAGGTCCTAGCGCAGGTCACGTCGGAGGGGGTTTATTTTTTCGGGATCAAGCAAAGGCCGTTTTGGCTACGTTTAGGAAAATTCCAGAAAGAAATATCGACTCTTTTAACCTGCGGAGGAGCAGTGCTTCCACAGGGGTCCGGCGTGCCAGGGTGGGAACTGCCGTGAAGTCCAACACTGTGCTAGGCAAACCCAGGTACACCTCATTCCGACGGGAGGGAATGGCTGATGGGTACTCGGGAATGGCTCCGCGCGGCGCACCGGGCTGCCGGAGCCGCGGGGCGACCGCGACCTGCTGCCGTCGCGATGTCCGCAGCCGCGGCCTCAGGGCTATGCCACACTCAGGGCTACAGCCCACGGCCCCGCTGGTGACACCGGGGACGCCTCTGAGGTAAATCTCCTCCCCCCAGGCTGGTTTTTCTATGTTTGAGTGTCCGACCCACCCGCGATGGGGGTGAGCGGCACCGGGCGGCGAAACCCCGTGCGTGAGGCGGAGGGGAGCGGGGGGAACGCGGGGCTGCCCCGCACCGCGCACGCACCGGGGGCGGCTCAGGCGGGGAGGATCCCACACCACCGGGAGGACTCCGCGACACCGGGCAGACCCCACGACGCCGGGGAGACTCGCCCTCCTCCGCCGAACAAAGGCCCCCGCCGGCCCCGCGATGCTCCGGCGGGGTTCGCCTCACGACCCCCGCCCCGGCGCTCCCACCTCACGCGCGCACCGGAGGCCCCCGCCCCGCTCCGCTCCCCGCTGCCGCCGCTTACCTGGGTGTCGGGGCGCGGCGCATCCCTCGCCCGCAGCCGCAGCCTCCGCCGCCGCTGAGGGGAGTCCCGAGGGTCGTTGGCTGAAGGAGGTCGGTTCTGAACAGATGTCCCGGGGGTCTGCGCTGAGGAGGGTCGGCGCTGAGGAGTGTCCCAAGGGTGTGTGCTGAGGAGGGTCCCGGGGGTCGGTGCTGAGGTGCTGTGTTAAGGGAGGTCCGGGGGTCCCGAGGGTGGGTGTTGAGAGGGGTCCCGGCAAGGAGGGGGTGCGGACGGGCGCTCCCGCCGCCTCCGCCGCCGCCCGGGCGCTGCCCGACTGCCCGCGCGCGCGCGCCGCTCTCACGCGCCCGCCCG